CTAGTGCTTGCTATGTACCAACCACTTCTAAGTACTTTTTCCAAATATTGAAACTTTGTAATAATTCTCTATGGTAGATAATATTATCTCCATTCTACAGACACAGACTGAGGCAGAGAGTTTAAGCAAGTGGCCGGACGTCACAGCCAGTACGTGGCAAAACTCCTGCAGCCTGCTCTTAGAGTTCGCACTCCTTGTCCAGCTCCTGTCCAAATATTTATTATTACTTACGAGAAAACTCTGCAAATTGCAAAGCGGTCTACCACCAAAGATTAGCACCCTAGGGCAAAATGAGCCCTTTACTTCCTCGATGCTCCCCAGCGCTAAATTCCCAGCGGAGGTTGCAGTGAACCCAGATCGCGCCACTGCACTCCAGCCTGGGTGACCGGGCGAGACTCTTGTCTCAAAAAAAAAAAAAAAAACGAGTGAGTGGAGCGTAATTACCCTCGCCAATAGCCTGTAACCACCGCGGCCGCCACTCCCCTTTTCCTGGCCTCGCCCCTCTCCACCCACGACTCTGGCCCCGCCCCTCGTCCCAGGCTGCGACGGAAGAAGAGCCAACGCCTCACGGGCTTCCACGTACGCACTCCAACGCCTGTCCCCGGAGGAGAACACATCCGGGTCACGGGAGCCGGTGTTTCAGGCTCCGCCCCTTCCCCCCCCAAGGGCTAATCCCCACTTCCGACCCTCATAGTCCTTTTCCGCTTCTCTTTCACCTACCCAGGTGCGCCCGTCTGCGCCCCTCATAGGAACCCGGAGGGTAGCTCTGATCCCGAATCTCCCACAAGCGCGAACCTGCTCTGCCGTGTGTCTTTGCGGGGCGGCCTGCGCTGAGGCCTGCCGCGCGCGGTGAGTCCGCGCAGACCTGACCCTGCGTCTTGCAGCTCTGTTGAGGCCGCCGCCGACTTCTCGGGATGCCGCGGCCGGGGTCCGCGCAGCGCTGGGCGGCCGCCACGGGCCGTTGGGGCTGCAAGCTGCTCGCACTGCTGCTGCTGGTGCCTGGACCCGGAGGCGCCTCTGAGATCACCTTCGAGCTTCCTGACAACGCCAAGCAGTGCTTCTACGAGGACATCGCTCAGGGCACCAAGTGCACCCTGGAGTTCCAGGTATCAGGGGCCTAGCAGTCCCTGGGCCCCAACTCGCGGCTCCAGGGTTGGGGGTGTAAGTTGAGGGATGGCACTTTCCTGTCCGTGTTTCCCTGTTCTTAGGCTAATTCAAAAATCGCTTCCAGGTAGCTGATGCCCAGCATTTGACTTTCCTCTAATAAACCTGGAGTGAGAGATGTTAAGACCGGATGTTAAAATGTATGAATTCCAGAAATGCTCCCTCTAGCATTTCTTTCCATTCTCATATTTAAGGCCTATTGAACGTCCTTCCTTAAAATATTCCCTTAAAGAAAATCATTTATATTCTATAGTACCCAGTGTCAACTCTCTAATCCACACTTCCAATGTAATTGAATTTGAAGTATTTTATTATACTACCTTCCAGAGACTGACTTTGACCTCAGAGAGCTTGTATAGACATATATAGTCATAAATGTTAAATGCAACAATAAAGGTACACACTAGGTATAGTGCTGGCAGAAGACAGAAGGATCATTGGGAAATTTAGCTGAGGAGCTGATGTTAGAGCTGAGTCTGCAAGGTAAGTAGCCGTTGCTCTACAAGGCAGCAGAGGAGAGAAGGGGCCCTAGGCAGATATGTTCATGACAGTTCCAGCAGGCCTGAAATTAGCCTGAGCTATATTGCTAACATTTGTGCATGACATTGAAATACACTGAATAACAATAGTTTTGTGACTATAGTTACATATATTAATAGTCACAAAACTATATATTATTAGCTTTAATATAAAGCTATTATAATAGCTTTGTGACTGTGAGTCCAAGGGCTTTGGGGGCAGTTTGTACCAGTTTGTCAACATTATTTATCGGTAACAGTGAGATTGATGATTTGCTCCTGGTCTTGGTGAGACCACACCCCCAACAGAGAGCTCTGTTGTTGAGACTAGCTCCATAGCAGGAATATGCCTATGTGACCAGCGAAATATTTAAAAATGTGGTCAAGACTCCATTTTGTGTTCCTTGGTTCCAGGGTGTTTTGTTTGCACACTTGGGTGGTTCCAGGTCTGACAGAGTATGTGTCTGGCCACAGACCTAACAGAGGGAAGACAAAGGAGCCCACACCTGACCTTTTCAGACCTCTTGCTGTGAGACAGCCTTTGGCTGTGATGTTTTATATTCTTTTCCTTTTGGGACTCTTTTCAGTCCCAAGTTAAATTCTTAACCACTTTATTATACTACCTCCCAGAGACTGACTCTGACCTCAGAGAGCTTACATAGACATATATAGTCATATAATATTATAAACTGTAGATTTATGACATTATAACATACAGTAATAAACTGTAGATTTGCAAACACTGTCATTTTGAGCCCTGTGATTCTTCTTTAGCAAACCCTGTTGAACTTCACTGTCAGTGCAGATGTAAAGCAAAGACTTGTTCAGAGAATTTCTGGTAGTCTGGCATTTTGGGAACATAGAACGAGTAAGGCTGTCAATAAAAGAGGTTCTGAAGCTACCTGGGAGGAAGAACAGTGAATAGTATACCATTGTTAACAGGTTTCGATTTTTCTGCAGGCCACAGGTAATTATCAAGAAGTTTTTAAGTGATTGCTCAATGGGGAATGAGGAAGGATGAGGAGACTGGCACCCCTCCTTCCCAGGAGACATTTGGCATCATGTTAGAAGGGCAGCTACCTGCATCTAGTAGGTAGAGACCAGGTATGCTGCTTAACGTGTTGTAGTGCGCAGGACAGTACAGGGTCCTACAACACAGAATTATTCAGCTCAAAATGGGAATAATGCCAAGGTTGAGAAACCCTGAGTTAGAGGGAGAAGATATTGGGTAGTGGGAAGACCTTTTAGGAAGTTGTGGCAATAGTCGTGTCTGGATTGTGCTTTAGGAATGCGATGAATTTGAGAGGGGCAAAAAGATTGAGAGATCTGTGTGATCGTATGGATAGATAGGGATACTTAGTTTGGGATGATCCTCAGTTTCAATAGTAGGCGATTGGATAGGTTTAAAGGGATACTTAACAAGATGACTTGTTTTAAGTTTGATGGAAGAGAAGTGGGGTGATGATAAGTTCTGGTCCTATTCAGTTTGTATGTATGTGTTTGATTATTCAAAATACAATGGTCAGGTATGAATAATTCAGTAGAGCAAAATGAAGTTATTATTTTCACCTGGAGAAAAAGTTACTTTTTGGTGAGGATGGGGATTGGTAAATCCTCAATTGATAAGACATTTTTATATCAAAACATTTTATCTGTATATTAACATTTACATATTTTTACAGTTTCCTAAGTGCATAATTATTTTCATTTGATTATCAAAATGATCTGTAACATAGTTCAGTTAGTATCTTCTCTCCTAAGTGAGAAAAGGTCACACAGGTCACAGATCCTTCTTTTAAATCCACAGTCTGAACTCTGTTCTACTGACCTAGAATGTCAGTATGCTAACCAAGAGGGTTCAAGGTTGAAAATAACAGTCTTGTGCTACCCAATCACATGGTGGTTTGGGAACCCTTCATTCAACCCAATGTCTCTTCCTAATCATCTCTTTCACAAGTGTATACGTTTCCTCTGTTTCTTCACCTCTCTCCACTCCCTCTTTCTTCCTACTCAGTTCTTTCTCATGTAAGGAAGCCTTTCTCTTTAATCCTTTCCCCCTTTTGTCTCTTAAAATACTTATCCAGTTACCGCAGGAAAAATCTCTCCCTCCTCTGTTCGTACAACCCAAATGGCTGGAAGTGTAACTGATTAAGCATAAGCCCTTGAAAGTAGTTCTACAGTTCTGTTCAGAACTACCTCCAGCCTTCCATTCAGTATGTTTGCCCTTAAGTACTGGCTTTCTAAATAAACAGACTTGTTGTCCTTTATGTTACTCATTTTTGCTTTAATCACAAGTGGTTCAGCAATATTTTGTTTAATCAGTTATGTGTCTCCTGAAAACAAGGTTGTAAATGATTATATACTTTTAGAATAGCCCACTCCATTACTCAACTTGTGTAGTTCAAAACAAAATATATATCAAATTCCATATAACTGACTATAAAAGAACTTAATAAACACAATCCGCTTGTAATTTGGCAGTAAAATGAACTTAAGTTCTATGATAGAAGTATGAATGGGGTGTAATCCTAAGGACTGGCCTACCTTATTACTTCACTGTGTGTGTGCTTGGATGATGCTAATAGGAAAGTGGGTGAGAAAATTTTCAGAAGGAAAATATTGCAGACACTAAGCTTAGAGGTTAAGAATATGACTTTGGAGTTCAAGTTCTGGCTTTCCCACTTAACTGGATGAATACTCTTAAATGGGTCGCATATTTAACATCAGTTTTTCAGTCTGTCAAGTGGAAGGAAAAAAGTCTCTTGTAGGGTTGCTGGGAGAATTAAGTGATCTAATAGATCTACATTAATTAGCACAGTTGTCTGGCTAGTTCAAAGTGAATAAAAGTTGGAGGAAACTTGTTCAGTTTCTGTAAAGTTTAGTTGAAGTAAAATCTCCTCCCAACTTCCATCCACTGGTGAAAATTTAAAAATGTAAAATTGTCTGTGATAGTAAAAGTCCTTTGCCCATTACCTTATTGCCATTTTATTAGGAAACCTGATTAAATCTGATAAATTTTTCAAACTTTTCACAGTAATTTTTTTTTAATCTCTTACAGGTGATTACTGGTGGTCACTATGATGTAGATTGTCGATTAGAAGATCCTGATGGTAAAGTGTTATACAAAGAGATGAAGAAACAGTATGATAGTTTTACCTTCACAGCCTCCAAAAATGGGACATACAAATTTTGCTTCAGCAATGAATTTTCTACTTTCACACATAAAACTGTATATTTTGACTTTCAAGTTGGAGAAGACCCACCTTTGTTTCCTAGTGAGAACCGAGTCAGTGCTCTTACCCAGGTAAATAAAAAAAATCAGCAATATAATGTTGGTATATTTAAAAGGAGGAAAAAAGCATAATTTAATATCATGCACTAACTGATGAGCATGGAGTTTCGAGACTAACAATCTTTAAAATCTATCTTAATTCTTACATAGTAGGCATTTCACAGAGAACTTCAAACTTTTATAGTGAAAAATAATGTTGAAAGATTTTATGAACTTTTAAGTGTAAAGAGAAAGAAGCATCAAAATGGGAGGAAGATCACTAAGGTAGAAACATCAGTGGTAAAAGAAGTTTGGGAAGGCTGAGCAGTGTTCCAATCTTCTGAAGCATTTTCTTTAATCCCTAAAGGAATGTTGCTGTCATACTCAGGCTGGTATAACTGGAAGCAAAATGATGCCTACATTAGTAGAGAAATAATACCACATGATAGCCTTTATACCATTACTTAGTGTTACTCAAGCTGCTGTAACAGTAACTTGTGCTGTAACTTTAGGTGAAATATTGAAGATTAATGGTAAGTCATCTCACCAAAATAGTTACAAAAGCTAAATTCGGATTTATTTTGGAGAAATAGAGAAAGCGTAAAAAATTCAAACCCAGTGAACAGCTATTGCTCAGGTGATGAGGACTGCTCTCTATTTCTAGTTCAAATACAGCAAAATCCAAAATGCTTCAAAATCCAAAGCTTTTTTTTTTAGCTCCAACCTGATGCCACAAGTGGAATATTGTACATCTGATTTCATGACACATCATTGAACATATCATATACAGTTGCCTTAAGGCTACATGTATAAGGCATATATGAAACATAAATGAATTTCATGTCTAGACCTGGGTTCCATCACAAAGATATCTCATTATGTGTACGTAGATATTCCAAAATCTGAAATTCCAAACAATTCTGGTCCCAAACATTTTGGATAAGGGATACTCAACCTGTATGGGCTTAGATCATATCTAAAAGTTACTCAATTAGGCATGAAAAAGAATTATTTACCACTTATTTGTTAAAAATCTTAAACCGATATTTTAGCGTTCCCAATTTCTATTTAGTCTCTTGGCCAAAGTCATGGTGAAAGAGACAGCTTTAAGAATGTGTAAAAGTCTTAATTCATAAACCTGTTGTAAGAATTAGCAAGATAAATTCAAATACTCTTAATTTTAGAAATGTTCTCTTTATTTTAAGGTCCTGTGTGAAAGACACTTTGCTTTGTAAAATGATATTTCTTTGGGGCCATTACCTTAACCTGTGTCCATTGCTTCATGAATTTTAACTTGTATAAGGTGGCTTGTTCTAAAAACCTAAGTGGGTAAATACAAGAAATGAATGGTAATAAAGCAGTTAGTATCATACCCTTCTTTATCCATGCTACATTTTTTATTTTTCTTAGTCTTATTTTTCTACTTTCAAAAAGATAATGTCTCATATAATAGGGATAGTTATAAAGCAACTTTTCATACTTTAAAATGGAAAATTACCAGCTAGTAATGCAGAATAAATGATAAGAGTTTTACTCTCACCATTTTTTGCCCACTGATAAAATGATGGATTTAGAGTAGGCAATGATCACCAGTCTCTACCAAAACCATTAAGTAAAAGGCTGGTGGGGAACTTAATACTGAGTGGATCAGAGTGAATGATCTTTCACAAATGGAGAGACAACTAGACATTATGTGCCTTATGAATAATTTGCAGTAAGAAGTACACAACACTGACTACTAGGCGTTCCCACCCAGAACATTGCACCTGAATCCCATCAAGTCTCTAGCTCTAAATGCCAGTTTACAAGAAATACAGAGGATAAAGGAATAGCATGGGAATGCAATCAGCAAAATCCAGTAAGTGAGAAATGCCACAGGATAGGGGTAGATGGCAAGGAAAAAAGAAAAAAACAAGGACAAAAGCCTAAAGATTAACGAAGACTTGTATCAGCCAAATGATTATGTTAACCTTACTTGGATTCTCATTTGAAAACCAGTTTTGAAACAGTAGGGGAAATTTGAACACTATTTCCTGACTTTAAGGAACTGTTTTAAATTATTTCATGTGTTACAATACTATTGGGGTTACGTTTTTAAAAAGTGTTACCTTTTAGAAATAAAGTATAAAAGTATTTGTAGCTGAAGTGATAAAATATCTGAGATTTGCTTTAAAAATAATCGGGGAAAATACATGGGGAATGTAGATGAAGCAAGATTAGCCATATGTTAATCTTTATTGACATCATGGAGGTTCATTATACTTTTCTCAATACTTTTGAATATGTATGGAAGTTTTCACTGTAAAAGTTTTTTAAAAATCACATCTCAGGCCAGGCGCGGTGGCTCACGCCTGTAATCCCAGCACTTTGGGAGGCCGAGGCGGGCGGATCATGAAGTCAGTAGTTCCAGACCAGCCTGACCAACATGGTGAAACCCTGTTTGTAATAAAAATACAAAAATTAGTTGGGTGTGGTGGAGTGTGCCTCTAATCCCAGCTACTCAGGAGGCTGAGGCAGGAGAATTGCTTGAACCTGGGAGGTGGAAGTTGCAGTGAGCCAAGCAAATTTTTCATTCCTAGGGGCCCAAAGCAAGGACAACAAAACATTTGACTCTTCTAATAGGCGAATGCAGTTTGTTGGCCTCATAATTTCTTACATTTTTTTAAAAGCACTTTTAATAGAATATTTTAATAATTATTCCTTTCATACTTACTTTGGCAGAACTTTATTAAACGTTATTTTCTAATGTCTATATTCCTTAACTAAAATTAAACTTAGATTTGTTTTTAAATACAGGTTTGTTGCATAAAATAATAATAAAACATATATTTTACCACTAGGATTAAGTTTGCAGCAGTAGAAAAATATTAAACCCTGGTATACAAAAAAACTAGTCACTTAACCTTTCTCAAAACAGACGGTATAATAAATGTATAAAAAGGCAAGCTGTTATCAGCTAAAGGCTCACAAAGTGATTACACAGTGAAACTGAAACTTGCATCCTGTTGGGAACATACATTGGTTTAGTTGACTGGCATGAAGGAAAAGGCTGATTTAACAAATAGATAAATGTTAAAAAAAAAAAAAAAAAGTCATTCCTATTCTTACATATCCCTTTCAGATTTAAAAGTTACCTAACGATTTTGATGTAGCTGTTTTAAATATAGTTGAAGTAACTGACTAATTCGGCCTTTTTTTTTTTGTACTGTGCTTTATTTTTATAGATATTTGGGCTTTGATTTATATTCTCATTATTGATGAGCTCACTGCCATTGTCTTCCTCCTAATTCTTGTTTAAAGAACTTGGGCTAGAAATTCTGTAGTCACCAACCTTAGCTGATAAGTATTTCTGCTGTTGTTAGCTTAGTGTTCCATCTGCCCCCTTACTGATGCCATGGCTGTGATATCTCAGTTCGGGAAAACAGCTGCTTCATGAGATCTCTGGCCTTAACAGTTGTCCTAGTGAAAATGAGCAGGGGGGTTTCATTGCAAGGATAACTGGCATAAATGTATGAATCAATGCCAGGTTAGTAGCACGTTAGTCAAAAGAGGAATTGAGATCAAATTGAAAGAAAAGCTGAATATGATAGATGAAGTCTACAGAAAGTATCACACATACTGACTGAAAATATTTCTCTGCAGATGGAATCTGCCTGTGTTTCAATTCACGAAGCTCTGAAGTCTGTCATCGATTATCAAACTCATTTCCGATTAAGAGAAGCTCAAGGCCGAAGCCGAGCAGAGGATCTAAATACAAGAGTGGCCTATTGGTCAGTAGGAGAAGCCCTCATTCTTCTGGTGGTTAGCATAGGGCAGGTATTTCTTTTGAAAAGTTTTTTCTCAGATAAAAGAACCACCACAACTCGTGTTGGATCATAACTACGTTTTGAGAATTGATGCACCATTGCCACTGTAATATTGCTGTCCTCTAATTAATTTTAGGTACTGAAGAACTTAATATTGGCAACATTTTTAAAACCTTACTCATACACTTGTTGGGAGGGATGTACAATGCATATCCCCAAACTGTGGAAAGGACACCTTTTTTTATTTGTAAAGGTGGAAAAACTTTGGAACTCATTTTGGGCTATTCATGTTAAATATTCAACACCAATGATCTACTCTGTTCTGGGTTGTTTCTATCTACTCTTCGCACACTAAACCTTGGTATTTTGATTCCTTTTAACCATTTAAAACTACTTTCTTATAGGTAGTTGATATTTTAAAAACCTTAGATTTAATGTCTACATATGTTAAAGAGGAAGAAAATTGCCTTTTAATTGTTAATAAGAAAACCAAATGTGATGAACTGTAGCCCAAGCCCTATTCTGCACTGTTCAATTTTATGGAGGAAAAAAAAGTCTACCATAGGAATGTTAGTTACTATTGATACATCATGGTAAAATTTATTTCTCACTAGGTTAGAAAATGTCAGACTTTTGTTTTTGGGGTTTATGATTTATAACCAGCTATGCTATTTTTTCATAAAGGCATTTGTAGCACACACAAAACATATGCTTCAGTAGCATAAAAGAGTTTATACAGGCCTTAAATATCAGACTGTTTGTAACAGGTAGAAATATTACAGAATAATTTAAGACACTACAATGGGGGCAAATGAAATAGGAAAATTTTTAGTGAGTTACCTGTACTCATTACATTTTCAGTGCTTTTACAAAGAAAAAAGGTGATATGTTTAATTTTAACATTTTAATTGACTCTTGCCCTTACATGACTTTAATGTCTTTGTGAGTCATTCCCAGCTTAAATTAACAATTGTTAGTATTAGTATCACATAAGTGCCGTACATTTTATCCTCATGGGTGTGATGCACTGAAAAGTTAGTTGCTTTCCTTTTCTCTTTTTTCTTTTTTTCTTTTTTTTTTTTTGTCTTGCATATTTTATTTCTGTAGTTTCTGGTTAGCTACCCTAAAGTGATTAAAAAATTTAGAATGCTATGTGTTTCCTATTTGGTAATCTTCATTGACTGTTCTTTATTTAATGAGTATTAAATACTGCATATTCTATAGACTATAGGGTTTACATTGTGTTTGCACCTCATAACTTGTATAGATTGAGCTGATTGAAATAAGATTTTGTTCCAAGTATTATCTGATAGAATACAAGATGATTCAAAATTATATAGATATTTAAAGCTTTTCTGCTGTTTTTTTTTTTTAATTGCAACTGCTTTTCTGCCATGCCTCTCTTCCCTACCCAAAAGTGATGAGTTCTGAACAAGACAAGACTGTCATATTGCAGAGACTTTGATATGTGATACCATGGAATACTGATTGGATAGCCATCCTAGTCACTTACCAATACTGACTAGAAGTTAACTCTTAATTCTAAGCTATCTCAAAATGCATATATATACTTCTTGCATGGAAGAGCAAAACAAATTCAAGTTGTCATACTTGGTAATTTCAGATGCCGCAGTATAGCAAAGGGTGAACATGTTTTCAACCCTTTAATTTTTTAAGATATTTGAAGACCAACTAACTACTCCTTAATATTTATCAATGGATTAAGAAGTTTAAGATTTTGCAGATTTATCAATTTGGGTTTTTGTATTGAGGTTGTATTGAGGTTGTCTTGCGGCTTTATAAGTGTCCCTTTATATTTAAATTTGAAAGTTTTAAGCACTGATGTTAATGTGATTGATCAGCATGGGCATATGTAAAATGTCCTTTTCTGGTTGCCTCTCTGTGCTATTGTGTTCAGATACTTATACCATAATTAAACAGTAAGGTATAGATCTTGCTGAGTTCGGCATAGATAGTGCACTTATTTAATCTGTGCCTCTCAAAACTTCAGAATATTAGAATATTACCACAAATAATTTTTGGTGAAACTATTGAGATATTAAAATTTTTGAAATCACTGCTGTTACCTGTTATAGAAAATAGTGTGGGCTTAGTCTAGTCTCTGTGTAACTGGTTACATTTTGATGGTTGTCTATACTCAACTGGATATGTATATGTAAATTAGAAAATACATACCTATCCAGACATAAATGTTAAGTAACCTTTTTTTCTTCCTCCAACTACATAATTTGTAGCTCATCATCTTTCCTTAATCCTTTCCTAACTTGTTGCAGCAGTTTGAATTTCCCAAATATTTATGTTTGGACATAATGGCTCAGAATACATATTTGAACATCATAGTTGTATATATTTTTAAAGTAGAATAAATAATGGAAAGCAACTTGATATACAAGTTTATACTAAAATTTCAACTGTGTGAAGATACATTTTAAGGTATTACTTTGCTAATAATCTACACATTCTTTTTTCTATTAAAGAAACGGTTTGTGGTTCA